GAGTTTAATCAGACCAGGAAACAGTAGTATTAAAAAGTGCCTAATACAAGCATGATAAAAAATAAAATTAATAACATGTAGAGCTTTTAACTTTAAAAATCAGGAGATCAGTTGAATCCACTACCTTGGTTTCACTTTTACAGTACCTTCAGGCAATTTTTATCAATTGACCTCCCAATGCTTTATTTAAAAAAAAAAAAAAAAAAATAATGAATGCTATATTATCTTTAAAAAATAAACAAATGCACAATGTTCAGTGTGATAGAAAAGGAGGGGGAGGATGTGAAGGAAGAAGTGGAAAGAGAAGAAAAGCAAGGGTATTATAAATATATTGATTGGAGGGGGATTTAATTGATTTTTTTCTAGCCTCATATATGCTTAAGAGAATTTTTTAGTATGTATGCAAGGACTCATGACTTTGGTTTCTAGTTCAAAAAGTTCTTTGGACCTGGAAATATCATTATTGCTAATTTTCTCTGTTGGCAGAGGTTGCAAATATTGTGGTTGTTATAAGGTTTTACTTTTTTTTTTTTTTTAAATTTTACAGCTTACAATTGGATCCCAGCTGTTTTTTCTTTTAAATTCCACACATGGTTAGCTAGTTTGGTAGAGCACCTAAGACTTACTAGTTTGAATGATGACCTAGGATTATACCATCTACATTTGAAAGTACCTTCAGTACATTCTATGTAAGTTTTATTCTGGCCATTAATATCTGTTACTTTTGCTTTATAGATTATTGCTTTGGTTTTACAAGCTCCATCTAATGGCCATCTATTTTTTAGTTCTACAGTTGCATAAATTACTAGTGTTAACTATATTTTGCTGTGCATTAGTTTTGAAATTTCTGGTATTTTGTCTATCATTGTTTCTAAATTATTAGTGCAGCTGTAGCTTAATTGTGTTTTTATTGAATATCTTATGTAATTCTGAATTTTTGGGGAAGTGTTTAGTAAGTAACTTGAAAAATAATTTCTCTTTTTTACATGTTACCTCTAAATTAAAAGTGGTGGTTTAAACCATAAGAAGCACCTGAGGATAGCGTAAGGTTGAAACCAGGGTAGCGGATTCAACTGATCTCCAAATTTTGAAAGAACATATATATATATATATATATATATATATATATATATATATATACCCCTTTAGGCAACAGATCTGGGATTCATGCTAGCTAGGGAAGTTGTCAAACACCTTGCAGAACATGTTGAGTAGCATGGATATTATGTGGATAGGCATTATTCTTCTAGAAATGGAAGCAGAACTGATTGAACAATATTTTGAATGTATGTGGTGCTGTTAAACATTCCCAGCAGTTGGGTCTGTGTCTTGTGAGTAAATACACTCAGTAAGTTTTGGTTTGGATTGTTTTACGGCACATCAACCTCAATGGGTCATTTAATGCCGACACCCACCCCCTTTATTTTCCCCCCCTGGTAATACTTTCATTTTGTCAAAAATCTATTTCTGTTAATATTTTGTTTTTCCTCAAAAATTTATAGCTAGTAATATTTTGTTTTTCCTCAAAAATTTATAGCTAGTAATATTTTGTTTTTCCTCAAAAAATTTATAGCTAGTAATATTTTGTTTTTCCTCAAAAATTTATAGCTAGTAATATTTTTTTTTTCCTCAAAAATTTATAGCTAGTAATATTTTGTTTTTCTCAAAAAATTTATAGCTAGTAATATTTTGTTTTTCCTCAAAAATTTATAGCTAGTAATATTTTGTTTTCCAAAAATTTTTATAGCTAGTAATATTTTTGTTTTTCCTCAAAAATTTATAGCTAGTAATATTTTGTTTTTCCTCAAAAAATTTATAGCTAGTAATATTTTTGTTTTTCCTCAAAAATTTATAGCTAGTAATATTTTGTTTTTCCTCAAAAATTTATAGCTAGTAATATTTTGTTTTTCCTCAAAAATTTATAGCTAGTAATATTTTGTTTTTCCTCAAAAATTTATAGCTAGTAATATTTTGTTTTTCCTCAAAAATTTATAGCTAGTAATATTTTGTTTTTCCTCAAAAATTTATAGCTAGTAATATTTTGTTTTTCCTCAAAAATTTATAGCTAGTAATATTTTGTTTTTCCTCAAAATGTTATAGCTAGTAATATTTTGTTTTTCCTCAAAAATTTATAGCGAGTAATACTATTTTTCCAAAAATATATGGCTGGCAACACTATTCTTTAAAAATAAACATATAGCTGGTAATATTTTTTTCAAAAACATTATCAGAGGCCTTGTTGTTGGATGTAGTTTATCTTCATACCCGGGACGCCGATGTAGTTTATCGTCATACCCAGGATGCACACTCAAGAAGGAACCTGCTCTCATCACTTTATACTACAGAATCCTATTCAATCTCCCAGGCAATTCTAGCATACATCGCTATCTAAAGTTCAAACACAAGCTGTGCACTAGTACTAGTGTTCCTAAACACAAGATAGCCAGACACCTCATCTAAATATCTACTACTCACTTACATGCACATAATGTACCCATTGTTAATTGAAACCATTATTCCTGGTGGTGATGTTTCATTTTCTATCAGTGTATATTTCACCAAATCAAATGAATAAATCATCAACCTCATGGCCTCTTTTGAATATGTTGACAATGATTTATTATTTAATAGCTGCAAAGCAAAACTATGAAAAACAGAAGAAATTTTATGTTTTTATATTGTTTGGAGAAAGTGAAGTGCTGATACAAACCTTTGATGTGAAAATACATCTGCCTCAAAATAAATATCACCTCCACTGTGATCTTGGCGTAAAATATATTCCCACATGTCAGGAAAGCTATAAAAGAAAAAAAAAATTACACTGTTATTCACTCATGCATGATTTTTATGGGATTATAAATGTCATACATGGAAAAGTTAATGATTTAAGAAATGTTTTTCATCATTTTAAAATAGGCTCAGCAAATTTTTATTTTTCGTATAAATTTAATTTGGACATGCATTTTTCAAAGCAAAAAAAAGATAAGAGTTAAAATTAGAGAAAAATTATTTTTTACTGTCTTAATGTTTTTTTTTTACTTTCTTTTGATCAAAGAGAACATTTAATTTATAATAAAGCATGCCTAGAATTATACAATAAGCAAAGATTATTTTTAACTATTACAGTTCTCAATTTTGCTTTCCATAGTTTTCTATTTCATATTTGCCAGCATGAAAAATATTACTTTTGTAATAATGTTACAACCTTACAAATGTTGGCAGTTTCAAAAGAATGTATCCTAAATAGAAGGTAATAAGTTTTCTTTTAAAAGATGGTGTAATAGAATAAGTTGTTTTCTATCAAAACAAGATACCAAAGGGAGACCATAATAGTAGTACTAAAACTAAACAAAAGACATCAGTAATCCTCAAACATGAATGTGTACATACTGCCTAAGATATTCCATGACAGTATCAACTGCCTTTTCAGAGTACATCCAACCAACTTCTGTGTGCTTAGTATAGCCTGGTACTTCTTCATTTCGTTTAGTTAACTTTAGGTTCAGTCCAATATTGCTCCTCTGCTCCGATGGGTTCTCTCTAGAGCCACGCTGCACAAAAACACAGCCAGTGATTCGAGCAAGGAAATGCATGTTGATCCCTAACCGTTGACAAGCAATGCTGGCAGGTGCGTATCTTTTCTTGAATGACTGAAAGAAAGAAAAAAGTTTTTTTGTTTTTAAACTATGGGAAAAATTTTGTTTTACAGTTGAATGCTCTTTTAGAGGTTTGGTTATTATTTTTATTAGACAAGTGATTAGTTCAGAACAGTTTTACTCCATTAAAATTAAAAAAAAAAAATTAAAATTTGATATGCAATATTATGTTTACCTGTCTTTGCAGCTCAGTTTCAGACATTTGATTTGTTAAAATCAACATCCAACCAGATAAGTTGGTAGAGGAAAAGTAAGCAATTGTAAAAATGTCTAGCATCACTATCTTATAGAAAAATGGTTTCCTTATTAAACAAATGTTTCTCTTCATATATGAACTGTGTATCATAAAATAACATAAAAAATTAAGGCTCTAAGATAATTTTAAGAAACTAACAAAATTTTAGAAAAATGCTATAAAATTAAAATGGAAAATTACCATTTTAAATTTAATAGAAAAGGACTTTTTTTTTTCAAACAATTCCATTAGCTTATTCTTAACTTATAATAGATTAATTAATCTTTTTGTAAAAACTGAAGAAAAAAATTGTTGGTTACCTGTTGGTTGTGAATGATTCTGTCAAGATTTGGCTCATGAAGAATATTTATGGTCACATTTACTTTTATTGTAACTCCTTTTTCAACCTTCAAAACCTGCAAAAGTTATGTAAAATATACATTTGTGCTTAAATTTGTGTTAACTTGCATCTAAAAAACAAAATAAAAGAATACAAGAAATATTTTTTTCATGCTATCAGTTTATTGTTGGTAAGAAATAGCACACAATTTTAGCTGTTTAATTTTATATGGATCTTAAACACTAACCTTTCCTTGACAACCATAGTGTGGCCACCCAATCATAAACACAGCTGCTTCAGGTGTAAACAAATCATCAACTGTTTTGTATTGACACATAGCAGATTCTTCCATAACAATATCCTGAAAGAAGATTAATAATAATAAAATACTTAAGAGAACATTTTAAACTTTATAAAGTGACTGAAAAGGCATATGAGTTCGAGAAAAACAAAAATATGTACAATTTGCATAATTTTTGTCCTATTAATTAATATTTGGTTAATAACTTTGATTAAGTTATTTCTCTACAGCTTAACCCTTTGCCGGTTATTTAAAGCCAGAAAATATTTTTAAATTGTAAGAATTTTATCTGGAGATAACAATGGTTTAGTCTTGCTAATTAACCCACAGCTGAGGGAGAAGAGGTGGATTCATACATTTTCCAAGGGTATTTGCATGTAAGTGAATATAAACTCAACTGGAATTGGAACTTGACTCTCTGATTAACAATTCCAAGCCATTATCCTGTACACCACCCATACACCCAAGCTTACAGTACCAGGTATTCTCAAGCGGTCATCCATCTAGGTACTGACTAGGCTTGATGCTGCTTAACTTCAGTGATTATATGGGATCTGGTGTTTCAATGTGATGTGGCCATAAGGTGGAAGAGCCTTTGTTCTAACAAGACTATTTATGATATATATAAAAGATTGATACTAAAATGAGAAAATAGTGATTTTATTGTGAGAACAATTTCTTATCTCGATATCAACTCATTCATTAAACAACCAAGGAAAATAAGAGTTTGTTAACTATCTTCTTATTAATTGATTCATTGCTACATCTTTGAAAGGCAACAAAATAAAACACACAAAATTATAAAGTATTTAAAAAAACAAGTAAATAAAATTAATACATAAACAATATCTTAAGAGGTATTGTGAGATGTCTTCAGTCTTCATTGTTGAAGCATGAATGAAAGGTGAGAAATAGCTTTAATAAATCACTCCTAGCTGGGGTAATATAGCAATAGAAATTTTTTCTACACTGCATAAAAGTTAATGTTTCCCAATATTTTTGTTACAAATCCAAACAAAAAGGAGTAAATTTAATATATCTTACCTTCACACATGCTTGGAGCACAAAGGTTTGAGGAATTTCTGAAAACTGCTTCTCAAGAGTGATTCTTCCATGAGAACCAGCAACATACCTAAATAGAAAAAAATATACACAATACAGTTCCCAAGTATTTGAAGAAACAGATTTTATATTTATGGCTTGATTTTAAAGAATAAAAATATGAGGAACCAAATTTTGTTCCAATCAGCATAACAAAGTAAAATTCACTGGTTAGAATAAAAGTGCAAAGCATAAAAAAGGCAAAGTTTAACATATGTGCCTGCAAAAAAATGGTGTATCAAAAGAATTGACAAAAAAAAAAAGAAATAAACACTATTTCATTAGATTGTTTATTTACAAGAATAATTTTATAAAAATATGTGAACCAACTACAATATTTATTATTTACCATATTATAAAAACCAATCATTTTTATTCATAAATTTATAAAAATGAAGAAAATTTTAAAAATGCAATTATGAATAACTGTAATTATAAATTTGAAAATAAGAAACTCTACACAATTTGAGTAAAATAGGTTGTGAGCACCTGGATTTATACTTATTTTTTTCCTTGAAAATTGACAGCAAAAATGTTAAAAACTGTTTATTTTTCAAGAATAGTATTTAATATATTCAATTTTCAAGAAATTTATTTAATAAATCAAATCAATTCTCAAGAATATTATTTAATACCTGTCAATTCTCAAGAATAATTTAAACCTGTCAATTCTCAAGAATAGTATTTAAAATATGTCAATTAAAAAGAATAGTATTTAATATTTGTCAATTCTCATAAGAATAAAGTATTTAATATATTCAATTTTCAAATGCTTATTTAAAAATGTCAATTCTCAAGAATAGTATTTAATACCTGTCAATTCTCAAGAATAGTATTTAATACCTGTCAATTCTCAAGAATAGTATTTAATACCTGTCAATTCTCAAGAATAGTATTTAATACCTGTCAATTCTCAAGAATGAAAAAAATACCTAAAATTTAAAAAAATATTTAATATGTCAATTCTCAAGAATAGTATTTAATACCTGTCAAGAATCAAGAATAGTATTTAATACCTGTCAATTCTCAAGAATAGTATTTATATATGTATTGTCACAGTCAAGAATAGAAATTTAATAACAATTTTTAAAAATCAGTTTCTCAAGAATAGTATTTAATACCTGTCAATTCTCAAGAATAGTATTTAATACCTGTCAAATCTCAAGAAAAGAGGGTATGCATAAATCCCATTTCATGTTTGGATTTTATTAAAATTCTAAAAATCACTTTTTAAAAACTAAAATAGCTAAGGGAGTATACACTAATTTCAAGCAAACAAAACAAAAAAAAAAAGGCTTTTTGACACTTTTTTCGTGGGTACTTAGTACCTAAAGAAAATCTAAAAATCATTTAATGTGGTTACTCTTTGTCTTTCAAGCTTCTGAATCTTTGGAATATAGTTTGAACACATTTGAACAACATTTCTTTTCCAATGCTGTACCAGAGTATTGATTTGTTCTCATGTTAATTTATATGTGATTTTTCTTTTTTTTTCTTTCATAGATTGAAATCTCTCACGTTCCCCCAAATACAATAGGATTTAAAGCCTGGACTTTGGAATTTTCAGTCCAGGGCATGAAATACTTTTGCTTTTCTTTGTTAAATAATTTCTACACATCTTAGATCTGTACTTTGGATAATTACCTTTTAGAAAATGAAACACACACTGTCAATAATTCAAAGACCACTTGGTAATTGGGGTGTGATCTGGATAGACTTGGTTTTGTGCAGTATGTCACTTATTATACAGCTGCCTTCAACACCCTCAGCAGAAAAGCAGCCTGAGATCAACACATTACCTCCACCTGGCTTCATAGATTACTGTATATATAATACTAGTTCACCTAGTATTTCTCATCAAAGGTTTTGTTTTTTTTCCCTGGAATTTTTCCAGATAATCCATACTTTATGTATATAGTAGGAGTGATATACTTGGAAATTTTCTATAGTCTTAACTTAAAGTTCATTTCTTCAGCAAGCTCAAAAAGCACATTTTCTCCTGTTCGGTACTTGAAAATATATTCTATAAGTCAGAAGCTTTAACTGCTTGGGCTCAATTCTGAAATTTATCTTGGTCTAGGTTATATTTTAATGCACCCAAAGTTAATATCCTCTGCAATTTTTCTACTTGTCCAACTAGCATCTTATAATCCTTGCATCCAATATCTTTCTTCTAGGAACAGTTCTTTGGATTTAGGCATGTCTTTTGTGGTTCTCATTGCTATATTCCAGGAATGTTTTTAAAATTGAATTGTTAAAAGAAATTCAATCAAGTAGTTTTCTATACTGTTAAAATTTTGTTCAGATTCAATCAGCAAAGGGATTAGAAAGGCTAACTAAACAGTGTTATCTTTTGCAAAACTAGCCAGTTAAATGGCTTTAGTTTTTTTTCTATAACAAATCAGTCATTGGAAATGGGTGTTTAACTAAATAGACGCAAGAAATACCTGGAAGACTTGCAGACAAATGCATATACTGAAAGAATTCAAGCATAGACAAGAAACAGTTCAAATCCATACAAGAATTTTATATTTATTGGAGTGTGTAGCATCTAATATTGGATAATGAAAGTTAAAAAAAAAAAATAAAAATAAAATAAAAAAATAAAAAAAAATAAATATATATATATATTCTAGAGATTTAATCCTGATAAAAAATTGCAGTAAATATTCTTAAAACACTTGTTTTCAACTATGAGAAATATGCATAAAAAAGAACCTAGGATAAAATTATAGATCTAAAACTTTATTACCAAAATTAGACATCAAAATTGTAAATAGGCATGTAAGTTAATTTTGCACATTTATGGTCACAGGATTTCACTAATTTATCCTGTTGTTCAGGCAGGGTTTTTTGTCCCATTCTCCCTGCTACAAATCAATAAAATCAGTTGCCTTAATATTATCACTGATGCCATAACATTTTCAGATTCAAAGAACTGTTTGCATATTTTTGTTTTTTATTATATATATATATATATATATATATATATATAAATACACAACACATCACAGCTGTTTAAAACCCTTGTTTTTTGTCATATAGGAAAATCCAACATGGCACTTAAACAAAATATTCAAAAAAAAAATCTCATTTGTCAGTAACATTTTAAACACCTCATAGAATGTAAAGTTCTTAAAGAAAACCTATGTCAAACTGTTTTCCTGAATCCTTGATGACTTGGCTGTCTGAAAATGATAATATCAAGATGAAATAATGAAACTGACCGTGAAAAATACAATTATATGCAACAAGGTTTTCGATCAATTAGTAAACTTCTGGACCTTTTAGGGCGACCTTATAGGATCCAGACGGCTATTTTTTGCACATGGAATTATTCACTGGTAATTAATCTTTGATTTGGCTGTGAAAAATGTCACTCGGGGGTTAGCATTAAGAAATTATGGCCAATTTTCTGAGAAAAATTTTTTTTTTTTTTAATGAAAAATATTATTTTTTCAAAAATAACATCATTCAAAATTCATTCCTTTCTCTTTCATTTGGCATGAACATCATTGAATAAAAAGAAAGGCTAAATGGACCCGACAATGGGAAATACAAAAAGATATGCGCTTAAAAAAAAAACAATGTTGTCTGTTAAGTGTTGTTGTCATCACCCGGGTCACGGGGTGTTAAAAAACAAAAAAAACTTATCAAGCCATTGTTCAAACATAGGTTTAAATGAAAGCCCTATAATGTGAACCCTTTTTTTTTCACCCTTTGCTTTTATTTTGGGAGTGGTGGGTTTTATTACAACTTGTTCTAAGGTTTGCCGTCCGTTTATTGCTTAGCAGCTGGCTGGCTGGCTGGCCTTTGACCTAGACATGTCAAAGTCAATTTGGTTTATTTTCCTTATTGCTATATTTAGGAAAAAAAAAAAAACTTTTGGTTTCTGGTGGTTAGGAATTGCAGATAAATCTTTTGCCTTTTACTAAAGATTTCCGTGGCCAGGTGTCAATTTTTTTTAACCCTTGGCAGTCATAATTGAAAATTAACAATGGATTTTGTCGTATTTTTTTGAACCCCTAGGAATGTTGATTTCCTTCAAAACTCTCAATTTTATGCCTGAAATAGTTTGATTATGATCTAAACTTTCTGATTTTCAAAAAAAAAAAAAAAAATAGTTAATTTCCATTAATGGGGAAATATTTGATTTTTAGAACAAGAAAAAAAATGCAAAATTTTCACTATTTTTCACATTTTACCCACTGAAAAAATTTTTGAGTCATTTACACCAGCTAATTTTACTTTTAAATGAAAGAATATATTTTTGCTTTCAGAAAATACCTAGTTTCATGGGGTTCAGATCAAAAGTTTCCTTGATATTAGTTTAGGTGATGATAAAACAGTCATTTTTCAAAATATTACCCCTAAAAAGTATGAAAACCCATATTTTGAGAGAGAAAATAAGCTGTGACAAAATGACTTTTTGCTATTTTTGTGATGATTTTCACTTGGGAAAGAAAATTTTTACCATAGG